AGGGTCCTTCCCCAGAGGCACCCAGGTCAGGCTGTTACTGTGTTGCTGGACCATGATTAAATCACTTAAAGGAACAAGAGGTCTGAGACTCTGATAAGGAAACCTGGGGTGGAACCAATAAGGAAATCTGGTCTGACTCTGTGAGTGTGGGGTATGTAGGGAGTCAAACTGCGATATATAGAAACCCAGAGTCAGGTGATTTCCAATTAGAATTTATTATATGATAAAAGCAAATTCAGCTCTGGGTGATCAGGCAGGGGTTTCAACAACTCCCAATGCCTGTCACACCCAAAGAAGACAGTTGTTCTACATTTATTTCCAGCTAATTCATGAATATTCATTATACATAAGCAAAAACATTACACATTGTTAAGTCAGACATTCAACAGATGTTTTTCTTAAACAAGAATATTATCTATAATCATCCATAATATATTGTCAAGTCAGACATTCAGCAGATGTTTGCTTGTTATCTATACAAAGTTATAAATTTTTAAGAAAGGTGCTATTATCCAGCTAACTAAACGAAATTCTTTCACTATAAATCTTACACAAAGTAAAAGGGAGGTAACTTGTTGTATGTCTTTATAGGGGCCCAATTAAGTTTTACGATTTGTTTTTCTTTTCTCTCTCCAGGTCATATTGATCTTACACTGTTTTTCTTTTAATTAGCCCGAATCATTTTCTCAGTTTATCACAAAATGGAGCACCTGTCAGCTCACTGGAGCTGCACGGTGTGAAGGGGTTTTGGTCCTTGCAGTTCAGTTTCCTTAACACTAGAATACTGTTTTCAGATTTAGTGGAGCTGCTTTAGTACTACTAAATCAACTCAAAGGATTCTTGGTTTAAGCATGGTTTTCTCATTTATCATGAAAATACAAAATTTGTGGGGGACTGAGCCCCTGAGATGGAATGAGAGAGAGTGGCTGAGAATGGAGGCCCTGGTCCTGACAATGTACTGATGCATCCTGAGAGAGCAGAGGAGCAGCAGGAGAAGAGCTGTCCCGTGGGAACAGGGAACACTGTCTCATGAGAACGAGGACTTGTTTTGTACAGAGTGACTGAGAAAAATATAAACATCAGAGGAAAACAGGGACAGGTGCACAGAAATGTTGTGAGAAAGTAGGACTGAGAAAGTCCAGAGAAAGCCCAGCTAAAATCTACCTATTAGCTGGGAGAATTGTAGTTTGTGTATGTAAGCTGACCTATCTGTGTGTTATACGTGTACCAAAAGAGCTGTATTTAAGAGGCTGTAAAGTGCAGCTCGTGGCTGCTGCTGCTTCATTTTCTTTTTCCAATAAACTTTCTTGCTGAATATTATATGTCATAGTCCGTCCCAACAATGACAAAAATTTATTTTAGGTGAAATAATGGAAGCCATGAACAAGTGACTACAGACATTTCTAAAAGTCTTTTTAATAGAAAGAATCAGAGTCACAAATAAGATTGATTCAAAGGAATCTCTACACAGTATGTACTGAATAGAAAAGCACACCTTTATTACGGCTGGGGCCACGCAGGGGTTGAACCACCACATGCGTGTCCAACAAGTGACAAAACTCAAGAGCTTTCTATACACTGGAGAAAGCAAGTTTCAAATATTATCTATCATATACATTCTTTTAGAATCAGTACAAAGTCCAGTTTGTAGCTGTCTTATTATACATTTGGTTACCTATTCCCTATACGTATTACTATACAGTTGTTACATAAAGCCTTATTATTTCAAGCAACTATACCACCACCCATCTCCTGTTTCCCTTGAAAGATTATTGATTACTACTGTTACATGCTGAAGCACTTTTTTCTGGCCATTACCACCCCTTTATCTTAACTACCCACAATTAGGCAGATCCCCTACTTGCGAGGCGGTTATATTTTGCAAAGTCACACTCATGCTAAATTTCAAAAAGTTATGCTAACATGGTTAAGCTTTATTTTATTTTGTCTTTGTTTCAGGCTGTCCACAAAGACATCTAGCTGCTGGCTCTTATGAACTTGGCAGACTCGTGTGTGCGTAACATGAATGGCACCATGCTCGGCCTCATCTGAGGGTAGAAAACATTTTAAAGGCAGCATTTTCATTAGAAGACGTTTTCAAGGCTGCCTTTTCCTTCATTTCTTCTCCCCACCTTGCAGGGACACCTCCCCCACCACCCAGTCCCCTAACTGCCTCACATCGCCCAACTGCAGCACAGTCTTCGCTTCTGCAGCCCGGCCTTCAGTCAGAGCCAGCAAGAAGTGGTATGACCAAAACTACTTCTCCTTTACTGGCTCAGGAAAGCAGTTACCACGGACGCGACAACCCGTCACACAACTCACAATCACCAGCCCCTCGGTGATGCCACGTTGCTCCGCCCTTCTAGCACGGTGCAGGAAAAATCACATTGACTGCCACTGGGCAGGCATGGGGGAGGCGGCTGGGGTAGGCTGTTGTGCTAGCAGTGCCTGCCAGCGAGTTTCACAAACCAGGTCACAGCTTTATAGTAATATTCCCTTAAAATAAACTGTAGATTGCTTGTACAATATAAAATTGCTTTTGACTTAATGAGGTCATATAAACCTACTTAAAATGCGCACAGCCAAAAATGGCAAATGTGTAATGGTTGGTAACTCATGCACCAAGCAGTTTAAAAAAATAATTTCTAGATATTTTAAGTTAATTTCAGACATAATGTACAGAAACATGCACCCAACAGTGAATGCTGCTACAGAACCCAT